AAAAAAAAAAAAAAAAAAAAGATATGTAGCCGAGTGGATAGTGATTGGAACAAAACTAAATGTACATCCAGATGAGACTGGAAAAATTTTTAAAATATATATATATACATTTTTTCTGAGTTGGAGTCTTACCCGCCACCCAGGCTAGAGTGCAGTGGCACACTCACAGCCACCCCAGCGTCGACCTACTGGACTCTGGCAATCCTTCCACCTCAGACTTCCAAGTAACCGGAACCACAGGTGCACACTACTGCACCCAAATAATTTTTGATTTATTGTAGAGATGAGGTCTTGCCAAGTTGCCCAGGTTGGTCTTGAACCTGTGGGCTCACATGATCCACTCACCTCAGCCTCCCAACGTGCTGGGATTGCAGGCTGAGCCACTGAGCCCAGCCAAAATTTTTATTCTTTATTTTTTTAAAGAGATGAGGTCTCGTTATGTTACCCTAGTCAGTCTCAAACTCTGGGGTTCAAGCAATCCTCCCTCCTTGGTCTTCCATAGTCCTGGAATTACAGGTGTGAGCCACCACACAAGGCCCCAAAATAAAATTTGGCACAACAACTCAATGCAGCTATTAAAAAGAACAATGTCATTAAATACTTACTAATATGAAACAATCGCCAAGATATATTGTTAGATAAACCAGTGTAAGATGCAGACCAATATGTATAGAGTGTGAAATTTGGGTGAAAATGAGAGTGAGATCACACACATGTATACATACATGTCTGATAGCTTATGTGCAACATACTATGTGTATATTACATATAATTTCTCTTTATTTTTGCACAGATATTTCAAAACATGTACACATAGAATTTTGATTATTCAGAGAACACTTTAGGGAAAATACACAAAAAATTAGTAAGAGTCGTTCCTTCTGCAACACAGAATAAAAATGTAAGGGAAAATTATCTTTTCCTGTATATCCTTTGGTACCATTTGACTTTTTGCCATTTTTGCATATATAATTAAAAATCCTTTTAAATTAAAAACAATTAAAATGTAAACTCCATACAGTGGAAAACTATAATTTTATCTTTCAAGATTATTTTAAGGCTTAAATGAGAGAATTGTGTAGCATTCCTGGCATGTGGTAGATACTCAATAAATTAATATTACATATATTAGTCTTATATGTCCAGGCTTACATCAATACTATATTGGGAAAAATAAGTCTTTTAAAAATTGTCTGTGGAGTGCTAGGATATATTGTTGGTCAGAGTCCAGGGATTTTGACTTTACTAAAGATTGTTTTTCTTTTCTCTATACAAGTGTTCTCAAGCTCTAATATGCATAAATATCACCCAGGGGTCTGGTTACAATGCAGATCCTGATTCAGAAGGTCTGCGAGGAGAGGGTAATGCTTAGATCTTACCTTTGTGTCTAGCACCCAGGTGTTGCTGATGCTACCGGTCCATAGATCAAAATTTGTGAGACAGGGTCCTAGACCCACAGGAGAGAGCTTCCCCATTCATTCCAGTCACATGTCACCCCTTTCGTAAACAATGCGATCTCATATAAGGCACTGTGTTGGGTAGCCAAACAAGATATAACTGATTTGAAATCTCAGTGTCTTCTCTTCCTATTGTAGCCTCTGGGAACCTCAGCTTCCTCATCTTTAGCAACAAGGAAAATGCCATTTCTGTAGCAGGGTATTGAGAAATGAATGGAACTTTTTGTAAAAAGGTTCCTATGCCAGGATCGTAGGTATATACAACATCATCACTATCTTTTAACAATTTTTTTTGGGGGGGGAACCGTTCTGGTTAGAAGAAATCAGAAAACAAACTTCCATTGGTTTTCCTAGAAAATTATCACAGCTGATTCTCTTTTCTAACAAATGCTGGCAAGTTTCATCAATAAATGTCATCAAATCAATAGATGAATCATACTTAGAGTAAGGGAGATGAAAATTCTTCTCCATTCAAGATGTCCAGGGGAACCACTGAAGTCTATTGCATTTTATAAAATGTCACTTTAAAAAGAACTGATTCAATTGTATTAAAAGTAATCTTGTTTGTGTAGAACTTTCCTTTTTATTCTCTTTTGTAATCCCCACAACATCTCCTGGGAACCAACATTGTTCTTCCCGTTTTACAGAGGAAAACCTGACACTTGCATACATCAAGCAACATGCTAGAGGTTGTAGTAACAAAGGAGGCAGGATCTCTGACCCCAAGTCCAGTGTTCTTCCAACCACACTACCTGAACTCTGTGCCAATTCAACAAGTTTCAATGCTCCCAGCCAACCCCTTATCATGGGTGCTGTACCTCCTGAGAAGAGAGATGTCTTGAATTCCAACTTAGATCCCTTCTGCTCTAAGAGACAAGGACTGATTACCTATAATGTACCAGGCAAGGTACTTCTTTGCTAGGTACTGAGGATGGAGTTCTGAGTAAGACATACATAGGCCTTGCCCCCATGAGGTTTAAAATCCTGTAAGAGAGCCAATAAATAACAGAAGAACATGGGTCATTTAAAATAATCATCCTCACCTTGAAAGGAAGTCATGACACAGGGCTTCATGCAGGATTTTCAAGAAAGGCTCTTCAGAAGACTAGGCATGGGAACTGATGCCAAGAATGTCAAAGACCCCCAGAAATAGGGAAAGCAACCGTGGGATGAGAGGTGTTGGGCAGAAGGAATCTCCCGTAGGATTTCTCTAAGGCTAGAAGGACCTTGGCACATTTGAGGACATGAAAGGGTGTTGGTGGGACTTTAGGAAATGGGAGAAGAGGAGGCATGACATGAGGTAAACCTGAACAGTCATCAGGGATCAGGACACTGGGGGACGTGCGGGTTGTGGGAAGGAGCTTATTTGTTCTTGAAATGATGGGGATCCTCTGAAGAGTCATAAGCAGAGGAGTGAGCCCCTATGGTCTATGATTTTGAGAGGCTCCACTAGCCTCACATGAAGGAGGATTGTAGGGAGCAGAAACAGAAGCAGACAGACCAGATAAGAGGTTATGGTCAGGTCTAGGGTGGGCAAAGATGTGAAAAGAGGGATTTGCAAAATATTTTGTAGATGTGTTTTGTTCTTAGATGGAGAGGTCCCTGGAGTTGGCCAAAACGACCAGGATCCAGGAGTTTGTTTTGCTGGGCTTGACCACAAAACCAGACATCAGGGATGCCCTGCTTGCCGTCTTCCTGACCCTCTACCTGCTGACGCTCCTGGAGAACACACTCATCGTCTACCTCATCTGCAGCCACAGTGAGCTCCGCAAACTGATGTACGTCTTCCTGGGCAACCTCAGCTGCCTGGAGATGTGCTATGTGTCAGTGACCATGCCCAGCCTGCTCGCGGGGCTGTGGACAGGACCCTGCCACATTCCCTTCACAGCCTGCATGACCCAGCTCTTCTTCATCTCCCTCATCTGCACAGAATGTACCCTCCTGGCCTCCATGGCCTATGACCGCTACGTGACTATCTGCTGCCCCTGCACTACCCGCTGCTCATGCGGCCCCAGGTGAGTCAGGGCTTAGCCTTGTCCTTGTGGCTTGGGGGGCTGCTCGTTTCGGTGGCCAAAACCACATGCATTGGCAGCCTGTCCTATTGAGGCCCCAAGGTCCTCAACCACTTCTTCTGTGATATCTCCCCTCTGCTCAACCTGTCCTGCACCCACGTGGCCCAGACGGAGCTGGTGGACTTCATCTCTGCCACCGTCATCCTCTGGGGCTCCCTCCTCGTGGCCATGGACTCCTACATGGCCTTTGGCAGGGCTGTCCTCTCTATGCCTTCAGCCACTGCCCGCCACAAAGCCTTCTCCACCTGTGCCTCCCACCTGGTTGTGGTGGGCATCTTCTACTCAGCCACAATTTTCATCTACGTCCGTCCTAGCCGCATAGAAGCCATGGACCTCAACAAGGTGCTGTCGGTCATCTACACAGTGGTCATGCCCATGTGCAATCCCATCATCTACTGTTTTCAGAACACGGAGGTCCAGGCAGCTTTCCGCAGAACCTTGCACCGGTCCTTAGGCTGACCAGTTGACCAGGACCTGGGGATTTCAAGTTACCCATAGTCTGCTTATTGAGATTTAATTCATATACCATAAATTACACCCTTTAAACACGTATACCTTAGTGGATTATTTTAAGGTATATTCACGAATTTGTGCAACCATCCAGAACATTTTCATCACCCCCAAAGAAACCCACACCCGTCAGAAGTCATTCCCAATATCACCCAACCCCACCACCTTCAACCCCAATCTACTTTCTGTCTCCATAGACCTGCCTGTTCTGGGCATTTCCTAGAAGTGGAATCATATACCCTGTGACCTTTAGTGTCGGGCTTCTTTCACTTGGCATGATAGTGTGAGATTCATGCATACAGCAACATGTATCAGTAATTCATTTCTTTTTATGGCTGAATAATATTCCATTATACGGATAGACCATATTTTGTCTTTTCACCATTTGACAAACATTTGAGTTGTTTCCACTTTTTGGTTATTGTGAATTAAGGTTACTGTAAACATTTGTTTACAACTTGTCTGGTCATATGTTTCCAATTCTCTGAGTATATGCTTAGATGTGGAATTGCTGGGCCATGTGGTAGCTCTGTTTAACTTTTTGAAGAACTGCCAAATTGTTTTCCAAAGTGGTCCACACTCCATTTTTAAGATTTTTTTTTTTTTTTGAGTTAGAGTCTCACTCTGTCGCCCAGACTGCAGTGCAGTGGCACACTCCTGGCCCCCACAGCCTCGACCTGCTGGGCTCCAGTGATTCTTCCAACCTCAGTCTTCCAAGTAGCTGGAACTACAAGCGTGCGCTACCACGCCCAACTAATTTTTTAAAATTTATTGTAGAGATGAGGTCTCGTCAAGTTGCCGAGGGGGTCTTGTACCTGTGGGCTCAGGCAATCCACTCACCTCAGCCTTCCAAAGCATGGGATTACAGGCTGAGCCACTGAGCCCGGCTTTTAAGATGTATTTTAAACACGTGTTCCTACTCCTAAGTGGGTCCTGAACATTCATCCCGATACTATCAGAGAGGGACCGGCAATAGTGGGACACTGCCAGGGGAGGGAAGGAAGGGGGGCACATAACATCACTAAGGATGCCTGATCCCAAATCAGGGGAAGTGAGGACCAGTGGGAGGCCCAACTTCACCTGCATGCAGACTACCTTTTGCAATTAAATATATATATAGTATGCTAATTATCAAAAGGTATCCTATCACTGTATCAGATCAGGAAACATGTCAATGATTGTTCACACCTGTAGCTGGGTAGGCTTTGGAAAAGGGGCACAATCTCAGGTATTGTTGGTGGTGGCATAAATTGTTAGAACCTTCTTGGAGAGCAACTTGGTAACATTTCAAATTGTCCCTACACCTCACCCAGCACACCCACTTTTGCAAAATCTCATAGGGAAATTAAAGTACTAGCCTGTGAAAATATATGCAGAAGCATGTTTATTATAGCATTGTTCTAAATGACTCAAATTGGATTGTGAATGTTCATCAATAAGATAATGACTGAATAAATAATAATGCCTCTATACTGTGAAATCTTATGATGATATAAAAAGCAAGAATTCATTATATCTCTAGTATTGACACAGAGATATAATACATTTGTAAATGAGAAGGTGAATTTTAGAGTAAAATTTTAAATAATTTTTAAATTTTTATTTGCATAGTTTTTCTTTTTTTGAAGATTCACACACCAAAAAATTTAAGGAGAGTAAGAACACTTTGTAAATTTCAGTAAAAATAAAAATTATTAACGGAAATTAAGTTACAACAATGCTTCTGAAGGGCCATTTGGCAACATGTATCATAATGCTGAGTGCACATGAACTTTGACTCAAAATACCATTGTAAGAATTTTTTGCCAAAAAGATTAGGATGCTGTCACAATGTAGCTACAAGAATGTTTATGTCATGTTCTTTCAATGGCGCACTATTGGAAGAACCTTCTATTCAACAATAGAGGGTCAACTGAAATAAACTGCAGTGCCTCCACACAATGGTGTCCTGGAAATAACTTTTAAATGTGTATTTACTGCCATGAAAGAAGTTAATTATGTGTTGTAATATGGAAAATCAGGCTACAAAACAGTACATATGCTATAATTATGTTTTAATTTAAAAAATACTATGTAACTGTCAGTAGGGGTGTGGGGAAGCGGGATTGGCAGTAGCAGGAATCTGCCTGGGGAAGGGGGAGTACATCTCATTAACAAGGATACCTGCCTAATGAACATTTGTATACCTAATCCTGAATTGTACTCCACATCTTTAAAGTAAAAGAATAAAAAAATTTTAAATTAAAATAAATAAAAATACAATGTATGTATAAATGCACAAAGAACAGGACCTGGAAATCAATACCTCGAATGCTGATGGCGATCACCACTGTGTGAAAGACCTTCGGTGTACTTTGATTTCATGCTCACTTGGTTGTCTTTTGTCAGTTTTTTGTGGTAAGCACATATTGCTTTTGTAATAAAAATTCATTTTGCAATTTAAAAAATTACTTTAATCTCAAGATCCCAAGTTACGTTTTGATCTGAGCCACACTAGACTCAAGATTATCCAGATGTATCATGCTCTGCAACCCTGGCTTACTTTGCACATGCTGCTCCTTCTCCTAGGAATACATACCCTTCCCTGTCCTCCCTTGGAATTTCAATACCCTCAGACCCAGCTTCAGATTGTCTTCTTCATGGAGTTTCCCCTAGTTGTCCCAAAACTCAGGCACAATGCAGGGTTCCAGTCTTCTGTGGCCCTCCAACCACATAAAGTGAACAAAATAAAGACTAGCATGTGAGCACCGCAGAAGCATAGACATCATTGGTCCTGCTCAGCACCAGTGCTTAGAACAATGCCTGGTGCTTAGTCAGTCTGGTTGAGCAAATAAAGGAATGATTCATTGAAGGAAGGTGATGTCTTAGTGATCTTCATATTTCCAGTGATTGATGCCTATAATAAAACTTACTGCTTCTGGAAAATTGAATGAATTCTGGACCCAGTGTTACCCCCTTGATATAGATGGTTCCATTTTAAGTCTTACTAAGGGAGTTACTTGAGGCTAGGACTGAGAATCATTTCAGCATCAACGGTTCCTTCTCTCTTTAGTAACAGATCCACCAAATTTCAGCTGGGAAAGCAGTCACCCAGAATAAAAACCATGATTCCCAGCTTTCTCCTTGTCCCTACAATGGGTCCTAGGAAGATGTGTCATATGAGGAGACAAAGGTCAATGGCAAAGTCTCAGGTTATGGTTTCAGGAGGGGAGGAGTGTTTTCTCTACTCCCTTGTTTCCCCTTATTCTGGTTGGATTACAGACATGATAGCTGGAGTCACAGAAGCCTTCCTGGACCCTGTCCTGGAAGATACATGCCAAGAATAGTAGAACAAAATAGGGGAACTCTGGTTCTCTGACTTCTTGGACTTCCACACCAATCCTAAATTAAAACTACATAAAGGAGAAATGAGATTCTATTCTACTCAAACTATTATTTTTTGGCTGAACTCATCATTTAACTAACACTGTACTATATCACTTAGCTATTGTTACAATACTGCTGTGTAACGAATAATCCCCAAATTTCAGGGGCTTCAGTAGATGTTTCTTTTTTTTCCCTAGCTCCTGAATCTATGGATTGACTGGTGTGAGTCTTCTTCAAGCTGTGAATCAGGGTCCATCTTTATTCTTCATTGTGAAAACATGATGTGTTCTTCTTAGGGCGTGAAGGCAAACAGAAACAGGTAGTGCTTCTTAAGACTTCAGCTTGGAACTGGAACTCTGTCACTTTTGTGCCCATTCCATTAGCTGGAAAAAATGATGTGGTCAAGTCTAAAGTCAGTGGGACCAAGGAAGCAATTTTCATCCACAGTGAAACCATGGTGGGGGCGATGGGTGAAGGAAGCATTGTGAGCAATCACGAAATCCACCTAAAGTAACTTATACTCTTCCTATTTTATATAAGGAAACCAGGGCCTGAGACCTTAAATAACTTGCCAAAAAGCCTTTGCTGGTAAGAGGTAGGTCCAGGATGTAAATCCAGGTATCTGGAGCTCAGAACATTTTTCCGTAGCGGCACTGGCTTTCTTCATCACATATGTGCAAAGCTGTGAACAGGCTTTTACCCAAATGAGCTGTACTTCTCCCAAGAGTCCTGTGAAGTATATTGTTATCTCCATTAGGGGCCAGGCATGGTGGCTCATGCCTGCAATCCCAGCACTTTCAGAGGCCAAGGCAAGAGGATTGCTTGAGCCCAGGAGATCGAGACCAACCTGGGCAATACAAAAAAAATTTTAAATATTAGCTGGGCATGACAGCTCGCACCTGTAGTCCCAATTCAGGAGGCTGAGGCAGAAGAATTCCTTGATCCCAGGAGGTTGAGGCAGCAGTGAGCCAGGATTGTGCCATTGCACTCCAGCCTGAGCAATAGAATGAGATTCTGTCTTTAAAAAAAAAAGAAAAGTTGTTATCTCTATTAGGAAAGTGAGGACTCAAAACAAAGAGGCCAATGTCTCAATGCCTGGATTGGCACTCAGGTCTGACTGGCTGCAAGCCTCGTGTCTTCTTGAAGTCAACCTGAATTCAGCTAGCCCCTTCTCCAGGTTGCGCATCGTCTTGGCCCGGTGTGCCAGACTGTGCCTCACTGTACCTGTACCCATCACTGCCCATCGGGCTCTGATCCCACTCCACTTCATGTCTCACCTCCTTCTGCCCCTCAGATGACAAAACAATGCCAGGGAGCCCAGGGGTGGTTGTGTCCACAGCCTTCTATCCTCCATCCCATAACCTCCTCCATCCCATGTCCCACTCCCCTCATGGAATCATAGATCAAGTCGACATTTTGTCAGCTCCTCATCATCTTTTTGTCTATCTTTCCGTGACACACCTCAATGTTCCTATGGAGAAAACCTTCTCCACTCTTGGTCCTTATGGTTTAGGTAAACTCACCATGCTTGTTCCCTAGACTCAGGGTGGGCATGAGACTTGGGCCTGTGTCCAGAGCATCAC